CAGGGGCACTTTACCACCAAGCTATATACCCTGTCCTTTTCATTTTTAACTTAGAGACAAGGTCTCACTAAATTACTAAGGACAGCCTCAAACTTGTGATTCTCCTGCCTCAGTTTCCCAAGTAGCTGGAATTACAGGTGTATACCACAATGCACCAGAGATTGCTTTTCCGATTCCCAAATCACTTTCCAATGTAAAAAAGAAAAAGAAAAAAGGCTGAAGGTTTAGCTTAGTGGAAGAGTATTTGCTTAGCTTGCATATGAAGCCCTGGGCTAGTTCCCCAGAACCAAAAAAATAAACAAATACATATATACACACATACACACACACACACACACACGTCTATATGTACAAATATATATTTAAAGAATGCATTTCTCCCTGGGCACGGCGGCACATGTCCATAATCCCAGCAGTTTGGGAGGCTGAGGCAGGAGGATTGCAAGTTCAAAGCCAGCCTAAGCAACCTATCGAGACCCTATCTTTAAATAAAAAATAAAAAGGCTGAGGATGTAGCTCAGTGGTTAAATGCCCCTGAATTCAATCCCTGATATGGGGGGGGGGGGGGAATCCTCCTACATCTAAAATAAGTTATAGCTCTTAAATTTTATTTCAATAGTTCATTCTCAAACTCCACCAGAAAACCATTTTAATTACTCACTAGAGTCCTCAGTAGTTCTGAAAGAAAGAAAATAACCGCATACAGCAATGCCCAGTGCTTCTTCTATACTTAAGGCCTGACTATGATATGAGTACCAAAAAATTCCTTTTGGAGGAAGCACAGAGGTTGGGAGGGATAACCAGGGATTGAATCTACAGGCACTTAATCACTGAGGCACATCTCCAGTCCTTTTTGAGATAGGGTCTCACTAAATTGCTGAGACTGACTTTGAACTTGCAATCTTCCTGCCTCAGCCTCTCAAGTCACTGGGATTACAGTAAGCACCTCCATGCCCAGCAGTCCAAACTCTTTCTATAAAACTTGAAAGTGATGACTGTAAGTAGATTATTCCAAACACTAATAACTTTAAGATTTAATCACCTTCTAAGACTGAAAGTTTTTTCCTATTAAAAAACTATTTTACCCGCAGCAACAATAGCTGACATGTCATTACAATGTGTCAAGCTCTGCCCTGGGTATGAAACATAATTACTCACTGAATTCCATTCAATTGTTCTATGAGCATGGGAAATTTTATCACTCCCATTTTAGGGATGAACAAATTTGAGACTTTTACAAGTTCAATGATTAGCTCAAAGTTACACAGCTGCTAAGTGGCAGGGTCCAGGCTCAAGACAGATCTAGCTGACACTTAAGCCCCTGCTCTTTTTTGTTTGCTTCTTTTTGGTTATACATAACATTAGAATTCATTTTGACATAATTTAAAAAGCATGGAATATAAATTGCTCAAATTCAGTCCCCATTATATCCCCTTTCTCTCCCCTCTTCCCTTTTCTTGTTCCCTTCCCTCAACTCTACTGATCTTTCTGATATTTACTTCTAGACTTTTTTTTCTTTTTTGTTAGTGTCTTGTGGGTATAGATGATGGTGAGATTTACTGTGGTATATTCACAGTATACAAAAAGGTTAGGTTAATTCATTCCTCTGTTCTTTTCTTATCTCATCTCTTCTTCCTCCCCCTCAGTCCCTTTCATTTAGCCCACTGGTCTTCCTTCTTTTTTGATGGAATTCTCCACCCCATTCCCTCTCCCCCACCCCCACTCCTTATTTTGTACTAGCCTCCACATATCAGAGAAAACATTCAACCTTTGGCTTTCTGAGTCTGGCTTATTTCACTTATGTGATACTTTCTAGTTCCATCCATTTACCAGCAAATGCCACAATTTCATTCTTTATAATCCCCTGCTCTTAACCATAACTATCTTCAGCTAAAGTATAAACTCCCCTTTCTACATGATGTCGTTTACTTCATATTGGTTTCCTTTATTGAGAAAGGAAGACTTGAAACAAGTAAAGTTCTAATTTTAATAGCATTTCAACATCTACTTAAAGAAGAAAACCTAAAACTTTAATTTCAAAATCTCCTGAAATGCCAATCCAACAATAAATTTTGTGATGTCAATTTTTTGCCCCATATTTCATCCTTTTTTTTTTTTCCTAAGCTCCACTGGGAAAAAAAAAAGTTGGAGAGGAAAAAAATCATTCCCAAAGCTTAAATTCCAAGTTTCTGTGCTTGGCAACTATAACTATACTGTGCTTTGGGACCTTAAAATTATAAGCACAGATTTCAGAGGAGAACATTTCCTTTATTAGCAATTGGCTTTGAAACTTCCATTCTGGGATGCTAAATATAACAATACCCCTCCTGACTTTTATAAACACATTCTTCAAATTATTTTGATACTAGTGATTTTCTATTTACAAGATAGCTTTGCCACAACAATTAAGCAACTGTAGCATTTTTTTTTTTTTTTTTTTTTTAGTGTTTATTTTTTAGTTTTCGGCGGACACAACATCTTTGTTTGCATGTGGTGCTGAGGATCGAACCCGGGCCGCACGCATGCCAGGTGAGCGCGCTACCGCTTGAGCCACATCCCCAGCCCGCAACTGTAGCATTTTGAGGAATCTTTCAAACTTGTTCTAGCTCTTTTAAAGAAGTGACCTGAAAAACTGTTCTCTGGATTTTTCTATGAAATAAGAAAGTTCCGATTTTACAATTCATTTCTCTAGAAAGACACCCTTATTTTATTATTTCTAATGTCCTTGGATTATAACACAAGGATACCGGTAGTTTTTTTTTTCCAAGTTATGAAACAGAACAAATGCAACTTTTAAAAACACTTTATACACTCACCAAAGTCAAAAAAATGTACCCTTATTTTAAAATCCCATATGTGATAATTCAGAAATAATGATGGGGAGAGAAACTGTTTTGCTCTGGGTAATGGACTAGCTCTTTCTTTCTCTTTCTTTCTTTTGTAATTATAGATGGACAGAATACCTTTACTTTATTTGTTTATTTTTATGTGGTGCTGTGGATCAAACCCAGTACCTCACACATGCTAGGCAAGCACTCTTCCACTCAGCTATAGCCCCAGCACTACATCGGGCTTTTAACAGAAGGCATAACTGCTGCTGCTGCATTTTAGAGAATGGTAAGCACCTAGTGGACCTCATGACCCAGGCGTCCTTTCATTATATAAGTAGTTCCAAGTACAGTTGTAATTATTAAGGCACCTTTAGCTGGACAGCTCCTGGAGTCCTCCCTACCTAAAACATGAATGTGAAAAATTAAGAATCAACTGGCACTTTATCTTTGGAGGATGGATCCAAGGAGTGGAGAGGGTAAAATTTTTGTTTCACCTCATAATCCCTGGACTGTTTTTGTTTTGCTTTACCATATCTTGTTATTACAGTTAGCTTTTCAAAAATACAGCCTCGCCAGCTATCATCCTTCTCCCTCTTCTCACACCTTCTTGGTCCACAGAATTCCTTTAACACCAAGCATGAGCTCATCCTTAAACAAGGGTACAGTACCTTCAAACACATGAACACTCACCAACCAGGATGAGTACAGAGTTGTTTGGGACTAAACCAGGATATTCATCTGAAGGAGTAAACTACAAAGTACCTTATCTTTGCAATGAACTCCTGAATCTGTATCCCGAGCCCTAAATTTTCTCCAATATATCCTAAACATCAAAATGGACAGTCTCCTTGGATGATCCACTCTACACAATAACAAGAGAGTCGTTTTTAAAATTTTTTTTTTTCATGAGAGCATTCCTCCTTGTAAAACTATTCTATTGACATCCTGTCACCAAATCATATAATCACTTCCTTCCTGATTTCCCTTTCCTTCAGTAATCAAAAAGTACAGGCTACATGAGTGGGTGCTATGGAGCTAGTTTAAGGCAACAGGGATTGCTAAGGAATAGATGACCCTCAGCTCCAGACAACAATTAATCAGGTGAGAACGTGATAGCACATTCTCCAATAATCCAAAAAGAGAAAGAAATTCTGATTGTTAGGAGAGATCTTCTGATTTTTAAGAGAACATGTTGGTCAAAGAAAACATCTGCAGGTCACCCACAGACAATCCCTGACCCCCGACTTAACCAGTCTCCATCATTCTGATTCAGGCTCCCCCTGTCTATTCTACACATCACTGAATGATCATTTTCCAAGCACACTGCTCCTGGGCTGCGGATGTAGCCCAGTGGTAGAGTGCTTGCCTAACGTGTAAAGTCCTGGGTTCCATCCCCAGACACTGGAGGGAAACAATTTCTTTTTGCTCCTGACCACTACTAACTTGAAAAGCATAAATATTACCGCAAAAATCCCAAATCTTCTTGTCGTCATTCAACGTTCACAGTAACACAACTATCCTTCACCTTCAACTTCCCTACGCAAACCTTACATTTAAATCAAAGGAGTCCACCCCACTTCCATCTCACCCCCCAACCGGTTGTATCCCCGCCAAGATGGCCTCCTTCTTTACCCCATCAAAGCCCACATTTGGCTCAGGAAACAACCCTTTGGAAGTAGACCTTCCAACACTTGCTAACCGGCTGGTTCACTGCGTGAGTCAAGACACCTCTCTGATCAAAGCCAACGGATTTAACTTTTAAGAAGGGATTTAAATCCCCCAGAAGACAAATCCTATGGCCTTGTCTCGATTTCCCCACCCCAAAATAACATTTTTAACAAGAGCAATGAGCCTGAAGTCGGAGAAGGCTCTGCGGGGTCTCGAGTCTTCTCACCCAGGAAGGCCTCAGGGAGGTGGGGGATGCCCCAACCAGCCCTGCGAAGCAGGCAGCCGTGCGCAATGTCCGCGCGCTCCTCCTTACGCCCCCAGGGTACCATCCCCAACCCGATCCACAGCCGTGCCCTGCAGTGGCCCTGGAGGACCTTCAGTGCTGCCCAGGCCCAATGCTCTCGGCCGCGACAAAGGGTCAGAGAGCCAGACCACCCCGCTGCGCGCGCTCCCCGCGGGCCTCCGCTGCCCGGGCCGCGCCCACCCGGACGCTGCCGCTACCTTGTCCTCGGGCGGTGAGTCCGGCTCGCGAACCGCTCTCTGCCTCAGCTCCGTCATGCTGGAGACCCCGGCGCGACGTAGCCACTGGCGAGCAGCGCAGCCGCCGGAGCGTGCAGCTCAGCTCAGCTCGAACACGGGCGGACTCCTTCGGCCAACTTCGCTCGCTCGCCCGCCGGAGCACTCCGCAGCTCAGCAGCGGCTCGCAGGCCCCTCCGCAGCCCGGTCGCCAGCCCTGGAGCTCCGCCCAGCTTCTCCGCTGCTCTTCCACCGGAGCCGAGAGGACCCGGCCTTCCCAATCGCTCCTCCTCCAGGGAAGAGTTTCGGAGAGAGCGCGCACGCGCACAGCCGCCATCTCGGCCCGGGAGATCCGCCAATAGCGGGAATACACTAGGCAGGCGGGGCAACGGGGCGGGGCGGAGCGGAACAGAGCAGAGAGACGCGCATTGGACAGCACCACAAGGGGGCGGGGAAAACGTGCCTTTCAGAGCGAGATTAGCCAATGGAAACTCCCGCCTAACCGCGAATGTACCGGTTCCGGCGTTCTAGGTCCTGAAAGTAAATGGTTATTGAGGGCAAGAAGCGCCCCCCAGGGGGTCTAGCCTGCAAGAATTCACTGCGCTGGGGTTCCAGGCTGACTTAAGAACCCATTTGTCAGACCTTAAGTGGTGAGGCTCCGTGAGCCAACCTGGTTACGAGGAGGGAATCACGTGAAAATAAAGTGAAACCCAAACTGAAGTCTGTTGTGCATTGCCAAGCAGTCTCTAGGTATGCATAGAGCTGAGTGGGCTATAGTTGGTTTATCTTGTTTAAGCCACACGTCACTTGGCAACGGATGTGATTTTCATTTTACAAATAAGATCATCTTCAGTGTTTCAAATTTCTTATGAGGTTTTGGTTTTGGTTTTGGTCCTGGGGATTGAACACAGGGCCTACTGAATGTTAAACTTGGGCAATATTATTGAGCTATCCCCTCAGCCACTGGATTGTTGTTAAGACGAGTTTGGGAACAGGAATGCTGCCTTTTTTTTTTTTAACTGAGGGTCTCCTATGTACCTGACACATCCTAAATACTTCCATTTTTTTTTTAAATTGTTAATGGACCTTTGTTTAATTCATTTATTTATATCCGGTGCTGAGAATCGAACCCAGTACCTCACATATGCAAGACAAGTGCTTTTCCACTGAGCCACAACCCCAGCCCCCTAAATATTTTTTGAGTGGAATTAAAACTTATGAAGGAAAATGACTTAACCAAGGCCTACCTGGTAGAAAATGCCTAGTAAGAAATACAATTCAGAATACAAGCTAACCAATGTACATACAGCCTGCCTGAATTCATGAATAGCTGTGTTGCTTGGGCATCACCTTCTATGCTTCCTACTTGCTTCTTTGCAAACAACGCAAAACACGAGTTCTCTATCCTTAATCGTATTGTTATCTAACAATGAGAAAAACTTGCCTTAGAGAAGTTGCAATTTCCTGTTTATAATTTTGACCTGAGCTGTGTGGCCTTTGGGGAAAGAAATTGAAGTGGTAACTCCTTCCTAGATGTTTCTTTTTTATCTCTGTTAATAACTGCAACCTGCTAGTTTGCTTCTGTATTCATGCTTGCTCAGCAGCTGTGGCAGGAACCACAGCTGCTTGGAAAGAGGGAAAGGAAATCAAGGCTACTTGCATGGGGAAGTCTTGAAACCTGGTAGGATGTACTGTATAAAAGATAATGAGAACAAAGAACTGTCTTCAGCCTTGAAAAAGACTCCACTGAGCCCACACCAGTGCTGAATAAACCTTGCACTTCTATATACTTCCAAGGGCCAGTTGTCTCTTTCCAATGCCATAAAGATTTTCCATATTTTCAGTAACAAAATGAGAATTCTGAAAAAGGCATTATATAATCCTGATTTCTTTCCCCTCTACCCCCATCCTGCCTCCTGGAGATTAAACCAGGCAAAAGCCCCACCACTGAGCTACTTCCCCCTTCCCCAGCCCTCCTCCCCTACTTCCTTTCTCTTTTTGACAAAGGGGCTCCAGAATTGCCCAGAGTGGCCTCCAACTTGCAATCCTCCTGCCTCAGCCTCCCACATAGATGGTATTACAGGCGTGAGCCACCAAAACCATCACATATCCTGATCGCCATAAGAGTATATTCCCCAGGGGCTGAGGCTATAGCTCAGTGGTAAAGTGCATGCCTTGAAAGTGTGAGGCACTGAGTTCGACCCTCAGCACCACATAAAAATAAATAAAGATACTGTATATCCATCTACAACAAAATTAATATTTTTTTAAAAAGAGTATATTCCCCAATTTTTGAAATAGTGCTTTTAACAAATTTGAAGGTGCCCTGAACTCTGAACTTTGTTTTCTATTTTAAAACGTTGCACAACTACTAGAATAGTGTTTTGTTTGTCTGTTTATTATACTGGGATCAAACCCAGGTTCACTCTGCCACTGAGCTACATCCTCAGTCCTTTTTGTAAAAGTTTTGTTTTGAGACTCATGAGGCTGAAGCAGGAGATTTCCAAGTTCGAAGTTAGGCTCAGCAGTTTAGTGAGGCTCAAAGCAATTTAGCAAGACCTTGTCTCCAAATTAAAAAAAAAAAAATTAAAGGACTGGGGATACAGCTCAGCGGTAAACCACTCCTGGGTTCACTCCCCAGTACAAAAAAAAAAATGTTTATTTTGAGACAGGTCTTGCTAATTTGTCCAGACTGGCTTGAATTTGGACCCTTGTGCTTAGCCTCCCCAATACTTGAGACTACAACATACACCAACATACCCCAAATTTGATTTCTTTTCTGTTCCTTAAATTAACTCTTTTCTTGAAAGTTATTTCTTCCAGGTTTGTGGCATATCTTGTACACAGTGATTTCATTATACTCCTTGTTTAGTTCCATTACTGTTAAATACTGTGTTAACAAAAATAACTAGCATGGGATTCCTAATCCCCAGAATGTTCAGACTGATTGTAAATGGGTAGCTATTGCTATAATTAATTTTATTTCATGATAAAAACAACTCCCCTCATCTTAATATCTGAAAACTGCAATGGTACAAGTGACATGAAAATTCTTGAGTTCCAAGAATAATGATATCATTTCTCTTAGAGGAGAAAACTTATCAAAAATAATTTCTTTAAACTGTACATTTATTTAAGAATTGTGGAAAGGGCTATTGATATAACTCAGTGATAGAGCGCTTCTCTAACATGCACAAGGTCCCCCACCAACTCCAAAAAAAACAAAAAAAAGTTGAAAAACAAAACAGCCTTAACCTGCTTTTTCTAGCTTATCATATTGCCTTTTTATTTATCACAGTTTGACAAGTGTTCTCAGATAACTAAAACTTATCCAATTTAATAAAATGACATGCAACATTGAATTGAGAATAGGCAGAATTGTCAAGGTTTCAGGACTGGGGATGTGGTTCAGTGATAGAGCACTTATCTAGCATGTTCAAGGCCCTGGGTTCATTCACAGCACTGAAAAAAATAATCTTCAAAAAATACAAATCCTGTACTTCCATGATCTTACAAGCCTACTAGATTATTAGGTAACTGTATATTATGTATTAGTCTTCTCTCTAATAAGCAAGGTTTTACTTTTTCTAACCAATAAGTCTAGAGGCTCTAAGCACAAATATTTACCTATTTATCACAAATGCTGTAAGAGTACTTTTTGCGGGGGATACTGGTAATTGAACCCAGGAGCACTTTATCACTGAGATACACCCCCAGTCCGTTTTATTTTTTAAATTTTCTTTTCTCTCTCTCTCTCTCTCTCTTTTTTTTTTTTTTTGGTGTGTGTGTGTGTGTGTGTGTTACCAGGGATTGATCCCAGAGGTACTTAACCACTGAGCCACATCCCCAGCCATTTTTATATTTTGTTTAGAGACAGGGTCTCTCAAAGTTGCTTAGGGCCTCACTAAGTTGCTGAGGCTGACCTTGAACTCACAATCCTCCTGCCTCAACCTCCCCAGCCACTGGGATTACATGTGTTTGCCATGGCATCCAGCTACTTTTTAAATTTTTGAGACAGGGACTTGCTAAATTGCCAAGTCTGGTCTTGTCATTCTTCTGCTTCAGCCTCCTGAATTGCAGGTATTACAGGCATGAACCACAGTGCCTGGCTATAATAGTAGTTTTTTTAATCCTGATTATTCATTAGGATTACCTGGGCAGCTTCTAAAAATTACTGTTGGAAGGACCACCCCAGCTCAATTTGAGAATTTCTGGAGACCAAAGGGGAATAGACTTTTTGAAAAACACCCCTAGGTAAGTCTAATAAGGATTGAGAATGACTACTATATGATCTTAATTTTTAAAGAAATTTGACAGGGGCTGGGGTTGTGGCTCAGTGGTAGAGTGCTCGCCTAGCATGCATGAGGCACTGGGTTCCATCCTCAGCACCACATAAAAATAAAATAAAGATACTGTGTCCACCTAAAAATATTTAAAAAAAAGAAATTTGAAAGAAACTACATAAAATAGTTTACAGCATTTTTCTCCCAATATTCATTAATATTTCTACAGTGTAGAAAATATGCCAGGTTTAGTGGCACACAACTGTGATCTCAGTGGCTTGGGAGTCTGAAGCAGAAGGATTATAGGTTTCAGGCAAACTTCAGCAATTTACCAAGGCCCTAAGCATGTTCGGTAGTTAAGCATCCCTGGCTCAATACCCAGTACCAAAAATAAATAAATAATAAGAAATCATAAGAAAGGCTTCAGATGTCACTCACTGGTAAAGTACCCCTAGGTTCAATCCCTGGTACCAAAAATAATAATAATAATAATAAATAAAACTTTAAAAGTGTAGAAAATACAGAAAAGCATAATGGAAAAAAACTAAAATTATTTGTAGTATCATCAGCCATAGATAATTGCTGTCAATATTTATATTCTTGGAGCTGGGGCTGTACCTCAGTGGTAGAGCACCTGCCTTGACGTGTGAGGCACTGGGTTTGATCCTCAGCACCACATAAAAATAAATAAAGCTATTGTGTCCATCTACAACTAAAATTTTTTTGAATATTTATATTCTTACCTTTCCATTCCATTTTCTATGTACATATATAGAGATAATAACAGTTTCAGAAAATTAGAAGACCTTTATTTATGTTGTTTTATAACATGAATTTTCTCTTTATCCTTAAATGCTTTTTAAGAATGGTAATTTAAAGGCTGGGTAATACTCCATCTTACAGATTTACCTGCTAACAAAAGCAAATATATGTGGGTGCAGGGGCACCTACATCTAATCACAGATACTTGGATTCTGAGACAGGATGATTGCACAAGGTCAGCCTCAAAAATTTAGCAAGACCCTATCTCAA